CCGTAGTCCCAGCTACGTGGAAGGCTGAAGTGGAAGGACTGCCTGAACCCAGAGGGTCGAGGCTATAGTGAGCTGTGATTGTGTGACTGCATTCCAGCCTGGGTGACAGAATGAGGCTCTGACTCAAAACCACCTAAAATCCCCACCCCAGGTGGGGCTTGTCTGCCTGTTTTTATACATGCAATGTATGAAGAAGTATTTATCTATACTAAACTTGTGGGTCAAAACTCCCCTCTAATTGTGCCAACATAACTTTCCTTTGATGTTACACCGCCTCCCTTATCTAATAAAAGGGCCCTGCCAGCCCCCTCCGGGAGCCAATTGGAGTGCTCTTCCTCCTGCACTGCCTCCCTTGCGCAAGCTTCCACTAAAGCCTTGTCTGGGAATCTGTTGGGCCCCATGTCAATTTCTATTACGCAAGAGCCTAAGAACTTGCAGGTGGTAACAATAGGATCCTGGTGGCCTCCTGGCTTGTATGGGATTGGAGGCAGTTATATGTGAGTCCCCATGCAGGTAGATTTGGTGGGAGAAAGATGAGATGGTTGATGTCTGTTTACATCTGTTTTCACTTGAAGTATGAGGTGTGATCATAGGCCAAGAATGTATTTTTATATGAGGATGCTGGGAATTTGAAGAACGAAGCATTGTGAAACAGTCTTAGAGTGTATGAGCAGCAAAGCTACAAGGAAACGGTTGTGAGAGTGCCTGGCAAGGATGAGGCTTGTGCCTGTGTATGAAGTCAGCATTATTGGGTGATTTTCTCAAGTAATGATTAGCTGCAAGGGTGTAGTCATGGAATAAGTGAGTAATTGGGCTTAACTAGAGTTAGAATTTTGACAGAAGGATGTTAAGTAGAAGGGCAAGGGGGTAGTTTTCTTTTTTCCTTTTTCTTTTTTTTTTTGAGTTGGAGCCTCACTCTGTCGCCCAGACTGGAATGCAGTGGCCGCTCCCGGACACTGCAGCCTCTACCTGCTGGACTCCGGTGATTCTTCCGCCTCAGCCTTCCAAGTAGCTGGAACTATAGGTGCGCGCTACCACGCCCAGCTAATTTTTGATTTATTGTAGAGGTGAGGTCTAGCCAAGTTGCCCAGGTGGGTCTCAAACCCGCAGGCTCAGGCAATCCACTCACCTCGGCCTCCCAAAGTGCTGGGATTACAGACTGAGCCACCGAGCCTGGCCTGTAGTTTTCATACTAGATCATAATTCACACAGGGTAAGGAAGGACGCGAAGAGGGCGAAAGATCACAAAAGCGATAACAGCAGTCTTATGTAGTCTCTGAGGGGCTGATAGGTAGCTGAATCAGGCTCTTAGGGCAGTGAGTTAGAAAGATGGGAAGTGGGCGCCAGAGTGAGGGAGACTTGAATATCAGATGTTGGAAGTGGTGGTCTCTCTAAAAAAGTCAAAAAGCTATACCATTCACCTCAGGCCAGGCAACATCTTTAAAAGTACAACTGAGGTTTTAACTGTCTGCAGCCAGTGTGCCAGTCAGTTTTGCCAGTGGAAGAACTTTTTGTCTTCACTGGCTTGCACACGGCGGTGTCAACAGGTTATCTCTGTGTACAGAGCAGTCCTCCCTGCCCTCCAGCTGTTAGCAGGCTTGGGAAGGCTGATTTACGCTTTATTTTCCAGTTGGGACTGACAAGGCAAAGACACATTTCTCAGAACTAGCTTTCAAATACCTCTAGAACAACCTCCAAAGAAAGGAAGAATAAAAATTATATGTCCAACGACTAGATGGGGAAGGGGAGGCCCAATTCAGGAAAGTTGTTAAGTAATTGTTTTCAGGGGTATGTGGTGTCTGTCAGTGACAAAATTGAGAATGCAATGCAAGAGGCTTGGTTTTAAGGATCATGCTATTATTTTATTTATTCAATGCTATTATTTGACAGTATTAATATTATTACTCTTCCATTCATTCAACAAACTTTTATTGAGTGCTATAATATGCCAGTCAACATACTAGGTCAATGGTTCTTAAACTTTTTGGTCTTAAGACCCCTTTACACTCTTAAAATTTATCGAGGACCCCAAGGAACTTTGTTTATATGGGTTATTTGCTATCTTAGAATTCAAAACCCAGGAACTTAAAAATTTTTCATTTAGGCTGGGTGCAGTGGTGCATGCTTGTTGTCTCAGCTATTTAGGAGGTGGAGGCAGGAGGATCCATTGCACTCAGGAGTTCAAAGCTGTAATATCTTATAATTGTGCCTGTGAATAACCACTGCATTCCAGCCTAGGCAATGTAGTGAGGCCCCATCTTTAAAAAAAAACAATACAATTTAAAAATTCATTTAAAAATAATTAACCTGCCAGGCTCGGTGGCTCAGCCTGTAATCCCACGCCTTTGGGAGGCTGAGGTGAGTGGATTGCCTGAGCCCGCGGGTTCGAGACCCACCTGGGCAGGCGAGACCTCATCTCTACAATAAATCAAAAAATCAGCCGGGCATGGTAGCTTGTGCCTGTAGTTCCAGCTACTTTGAAGGCTAAGGAGGAAGGATCGCCGGAGCCCAGCAGATCGGGGCTGCGGTGGCCGGGAGCGGCCACTGCACTCCAGTCTGGGCGACAGAGTGAGACTCCAACTCAAAAAAAAGAAACTTTACTGAAGACTGTAAAGCAGAGCAACATGAGAATATTAGCTAAACTTCGTGCCCCTGCTCTGTCTAGGCTAGATACTGTATTGGGAACTTAGTTCTCTCACCAACCCATTGAATGAGGAATTATTAGCCTCACTTCACAACTGAAGAAACTGAGGCTTCCATAACTAATTTGCATACTTAGATCTGTTTTCTATTGTGAAACTGACTCATTAATACATTTTCTAAACTTCTTAGGATTGAGATATTTCCAGTGATATAGATACTAAGATAATAAAGGGTAAACAACAGACACTGAGGACCTCTTGGATTCTGAGAAAGAAGTGGTTGTTCTTTGAATAGGCCCAGTGAAACAGAAAGAACTGCTGGTCTCCTGGCTCTCAAAAGATCTTTCGGTTGTCCCTAGTGTTTATAACTGCTACCCTCCCTCTGTAATAGATACTTGACTTCAGGGGCATCAATTTAAAAGTTTTAGCAGAAATAAATGGAACTAAGGTCAAACTCACATGAGAGAATGAAATACAGCAATTAAAATTACCAGTCACATTTTTTTTTCTCCAAAGGATAATGGTCTGTGCTTCCTTCTTGGGGTGTTGTATTCTGTGGTTCTGGTTGCTCAGGAAGTAAATACGAATCGAATGTGTTGCCTGCTGGGAAGTATCAAAGAGAGTAAAAAGTTCTGGGGACTAAGTTTTTTTCTCTCCTCTGTGACTTTAGTTTGTCTTACAGTGTTATTTAATAAGGAGGCACCACGATGGGGTCAGTTGGATCTCCAAAGACCTCAGATCTAGATCCCAGGCAACACTAGTGAATTAGAAACCCTAATGTGGAGAGGGTGGGGACGCCTAATGATTCATTTTTCACTGAAGTTTTTTTCATTCCTGTTACTATTCACTCCAGATGATATGTATCTTAACACCAGACCTATATTTACACAGCAATTAAAATTACCAGTCACGTTTTTTTTTCTCCAAAGGATAATGGTCTGTGCTTCCTTCTGTGCTTCCTTCTTGCCCAACTCTTGTATACTAAACTCTCAGGTCTACTTAGCACTCAGTAATTGTAGAAGCTTGACATATGAAGTCTAAGAAGTGTACTGTCGACCCTCCCTATCTCCCCGTCCATGGGTTCCCTATTTGAGGATCTAACCAAATACGGATTGAAAATATTAAGAAAAAATATCGATAAAAATATAAATTTTAAAAACCCAATTAGTATAACTATTTACACAGCACTTGCGCTATGTTTGGCAATCTAGGTAATGTAGGAATGACTTCAAGTACCCGGGAGGATGTGCATAGGTTATATGCAGCGCTACATCATTTCATATAAGGGACTTGAGCATCTGGGGATTTTGGTATTTGCTGGGTCCTGGAACCAATCTCCTGCGGACACCAAGGGACGACTGACGACACCTTGGTGTGTATTAGGCCATTACAGGGGCTGAGGGGGCCGAGACGAGAGGACTGCCTTAGCCCAGGGGTTCGGGACCAGCCTGGGGAGCTTCTCGAGACCTCGTCTCTACAATAAATCAAAAAATCAGCGGGGCGCACGCCCGCACTTCCAGCTACATGGAAGGCTGAGGCGGAAGGATCGCCTGAGCCCAGCAGGTCGAGGCTGCGGTGACCAAGATCGTGCCACTGTACTGCAGCTTGGGCAGAGTGAGATTTCGATTCAAAAAAAAAAGGCCGCGGGGAATTCTCGGGTTATGTTGAAATCATTTCCCCTCCCCAAGCCCTTTAATCCGGAGGGCAATGCGGGAGATCTCCAAGGAGGCCAGAGCAGCGCCCGCACATGCGCACAGCCGGGATCAGGCTGATGCAACCTCCAGCGCGCGAGCGAGCGGCTCCACCCGAAGTACGGAAGCCGGCCGGGAAACGCGGCTCGACCAATCGGTACCACCCGGAAGTGAGTGGAGAGGCCCGACCCCCGGGGTTCTGCGTAACGTGGGGCGCGCCGGTAGTGTATGACGGCTGCCGTCCTTCGTCTCATCCGGCGGCTTGGGGTGTTCTGCCTCCCAGCGGGTCCTGCGGCCATTTTGAGCTTCGCCTTCACCCGCGGCTGCCTGCCTGCCTACCCACCCAGCCCTTCCGGTGTCGCGCTGCTCTGGGGTTTTTAGCCGTCCGTCTCTCCGGAAAGTCGCCGCGGGAGAGCTCCGGTGTACTGTGTTGAGGCCTCGAGCCAGGATGGATGTCGCTTCAGCCGCTGCCTCCTGCGCAGACTGTTCCGCCGCCCGCTGCCGAAGCCGTCGCCCTCTGTGGCTCCCCTGCTGGCCCGGCGTCCGGCCTTGCGCCCCGACTCCGCCGCTGGCCAAGGCCGAGACTGCGTAGGCCGCTCCCGGATCCCGTCTGACCTCTGGTCGCTGACCTCCGCCGACCGACCCGAGAGGCTGCCCGGAAAATGGAGATGGAGCCGGGGACCGGCGGACCGCGGAATCGGCCTGCCCTTTGGGCGGGCCCCCGCTTCTGGCCGCCCTTCTTCCCTCGGCGGTCGCAGCCAGGCTCTTCCGAGTTCCCCACCCCTGCTGCCCCGGAAAACCGCGGGGACCGCACCGTGCCTTCCTCCGCCCAGCCCGAGGCTCGGACCGGCTACTCGACGAAGCTGCTTTCCCAGCTCTTTGCGCCGCTCCCCAGCCTGCTCCAGAAGCTGCTGGTCTGGAGCCAGCTTTTCGGTGGGGTGATTCCGACCAGATGGTTAGAGTTTGCAGGAGGTTACGGCGCCCTGAGAGCCCTGAGGGGACGAGAGGAGCCAGCCGCCCCCGCAGCGCAGAAATCTTTGACTTCTCTGCGGCTCGACTCTGCGGGCCACTCGGTTACCAGACCCCTTGATTGGGTAGACGAGGGGATCCCCTGGCAGTGTTCGTCCCCAGACCTAGAATTGAAGCTGAAAGCCAAGGGAAGTGCTTTGGGATCCGCAGTACACGCTTTTCTCTTAGAGCAGCAGCTGTGGGGAGTGGTGCTTTTGCCCAGTAGCCTTCCAACCCGTCTGTACTCTGATCGGGAACTTGGCCCTTCGCCCTCCGGGCCTCTGGACATTCAACGCTTAGGCAGTTGCAACGTAGTCTCCTATTTGCTGAAGCCCTGCTATCTAGACTGCCTTCCCCGGCTAGAGCTCGACTATCAGAACATCCACGGAAGTGGCGAGCTGGTTGATTTCCAGGCACCGACCCCGGAGGGCAGCTGCCTGATTGAGGACTATTGTCATTCCCAGCCACCGAGTGCAGAGATCCCTTCTGCCTCGTGGCAAGAGGGTCAACCTCTTTCTGCAGAAGGCTTGCCAGAAATTCACCATCTTCGCATGAAACGGCTGGAATTTCTTCAGCAGGCTAGCAAGGGGCAAGAGTTACCCACCCCTGACCAAGACAATGGTTACCACAGCCTAGAGGAGGAACAAAGCCTTCTCCAGATGAATCTGAAACACTGCAGTGATAACCCAACACACTGTGATCCCGATGCTGGAGCCATTCCAGAAACCACTCAGGAATCCACTGAAGAAAGAATAGAATTGTTGACTAAAGAGGTTTCTCTTGCTTTGAAAAGACAGGAGTCTTCGGAGAGCTGTCCATCTTGTGAGATACCCGTGGAAAAAGGGCCTGAAGAGGACCAAATAACTATAGTTGACTACTCACATGTAGAAGATGACCTCATTTCTACCAGACCCGCTTGTAGTAACAAACTGATAGATTATATTTTGGGAGGTGCATCTAGTGACCTAGAAGCAAGTTCTGATTCAGAAGATGACGATTGGGATGAGGAAGCTGAGGATGATGGTTTTGATAGTGATGGCTCACTGTCAGAATCAGACCTTGAACAAGACTCTGAAGGGCTTCACCTTTGGAACTCTTTCTACAGTGTAGATCCTTATAATCCTCAAAACTTCACAGCAACAATTCAGACTACTGCCAGGATTGTTCCTGAAGCGCCTTCTGATTCAGAGAAGGATTCGTCTGACAAGTCTGATCTAGAGAATTCCTCCCAGACTGGAAGCTTTCCTGAGACCCCTGACCATGATTCTTGGGAGGAGGATGACTGGGAATCTAGTGCAGATGAAGCAGAGAGTCTCCAACTGTGGAACTCTTTCTGTAATTCCAATGACCCCTACAACCTTTTAAATTTTAAGGCTCCTTTTCAAACATCAGGGAAAAATTGGAAAGACTGTCATGACTCAAAGAGACCATTTCAATCTATTGTGGCCATTTCTGAGTGTCACACCTTACTTTCTTGCAAGGTGCAACTACTAGGGAACCAAGAAAGTGAATGTCCAGACTTGGTACAGCCTGAGGCTCTTTCTGAAGAAAGACATGCGCTTATCAAAAGAAAAAAGGTTTGTTTCTTGTCTTTTAATATACCCGATAACTTGTTTTGTTTTGATATGGTTAAATATAGCAGCATAACTTTTTGGATGCTTAGTAGTGCATATTTTTGAGGATGGCCTCTAAGCTCATATACTTGGATTGAGAGATGTTTAAATGACCTTTTCTGTCTTGTCCCTCACACCCTGTCCCTTGTACGTTGTTCCTCTCCAGAATGAAGATGCCAGTGTATAGATGTGAGCAGGAAAGTGCCATTTTTATTTGGATAGGTAGCTCTGGGCTGTTTCCCTGTATGCTTCAACTTCTCACACTTTTTTTTTTTTTTTTTTTTAGTTGGAGTCTCACTCAGTCGCCCAGGCTGGAGTGCACTGGCCGCTCCCGGCCACAGCAGCCTCGACCTGCTGGGCTCCGGCGATCCTTCCGCCTCAGCCTTCCAAGTAGCTGGAACTACAGGCACGCGCAACCACGCCGGCTAATTTTTTTGGATTTATTGTAGAGATGGGGTCTCGCGAAGTGGCCCAGGCGGGTCTCGAATCCGCGGGCTCAGGCAATTCACTTACCTCGGCCTCCCAAAGCACGGGATTACAGCTGAGCCCGGCTAACTTCTTACACTTTTTTGGGAACAAAACCTTGTGTATAAATGATTTAATTTTTCTCAAAATTGAAAAGTCCTATCATAGCCAGAGTTTTAAAATAGTTTTAAATGTGGTGTGTTGTTTGCAAACATTTTATTTTATTGCAAACATAATATTTTATTTTCATGGCAGCAGTGTCTCCATTCCTGTCCAATAGAACCCTAAGTGATGATGATACCAATTAGCAAATCAGTTTATTTGCTACTTGGTTGTGTTGTCCATAGAAGAAAATATTTGCGGTATCAGAAAGAGTTTGACATTTCATGGATTTAGTTACAGTCAAAAGCAATACAAGATATGGTATTGTCTTTTCTGAGGAATGCAATACTAGTTGTCAGTGGCCAGCTACAGGTTAATCATAATAATAAACAGTGATGGACATTTACTTAGTTTATCTTGAATAGTTGCTTTCTGTATCCAGGCTAGTCTAAAAATGTCATGGGGCATTTTACCCATTACATTGTCAGGTTCACCTTATTTTCTAGTCTTTTGAGTTGCATTATTTTTCTTTATTAAGCTAAGGTTACTAATTGAAAAGAAATCCCTCCAAACGCAAAGGTATCTTTTTTTTTTAACGGCATAAAACAGCACATTTTTTTTTTTTTTTTTGTAAATTCTGGATCTCAGAAGTCCAAAGTCAATCTCACTGGACTAAAATCAATGTGTCAGCAGCTGGAGTCTCTAAGAGGAGAAGCTCTTTCTATTCCTTGGTTCCTAGCCCCCTGCTTCATCTTTTTCTTTTTTTTTTTTGAGTTGGAGTCTCACTCTGTCGCCCAGACTGGAGTGCACTGGCCGCTCCCGGCCACTGCAGCCTCGACCTGCTGGGCTCCGGCGATCCTTCCGCCTCAGCCTTCCGAGTAGCTGGAATTACAGGCACACGCTACCATGCCCGGCTGATTTTTTGATTTATTGTAGAGATGAGGTCCTCGCCAAGTTGCCCAGGCGGGTCTCGAACCCGCGGGCTCAGGCAATCCACTCACCTGAGCCACCGAGCCCGGCTTCTGCATCATCTTTAAAGTCAGCAGTGTAGCATCTTCTAATGTCTCAGTCTCTGATCTTGTTAGGTTAGAAATATCCCAGTGGGGCCTCCAAAATGTTAGGTCAGGCCTGAATGGTTGAGGCCAAGAGATTTCGAAGACAGCCAGACCTGTGAAATTGAGTCTTATAACCTTGATTTACTCATCTGATGAGTATAATTGTATCTGTTGTACAAGTTATTGCAAGATTTAAATGAGATGAATAAGTGAAACTCATATTTATTGCCTTGTCTATAAATTGTAGCTCTTATTTTTTAGAGACCTCAGGCCAATCTCGTGTCTCATTTTAGCTTACTCTTTGATTTTAATGAAATGAGTAGAGTAAATGAGACCATTGACTATGAGCTAGAAGCAAAACTTACTTATTTCTTTTTTTTTGAGTTGGAGTCTCTGTCGCCCAGACTGGAGTGCAGTGGCACTCTCCCGGCCACCACAACCTTGACCTGCTGGGCTCTGGCGATCCTTCTGCCTCAGCCTTCTAAGTAGCTGGAACTACAGGCGTGCGCCACTGTGCCCGGCTAGTTTTTGGTTTATTGAGACGAGGCCTCGACAGGTTGCCCATCAGGTTGCCCGGTTGGGTCTCGAACCTGCAGGCTCAGGCCTTGTCCTTGTCCTCCCAAAGTGCAGGAATTACAGGCTGAGCCACCGAGCCCGGGCAGAAGCAAAACTTATAAGTGACTAAATTTGAATATGATAGAATTATTTGACAGCCTTTGACTACCTGCCATTGGTATATATGGAATATGGTATATGGAATAATGGATAGTGCCTAATTGTTAGAATGAGGCTTTCAGGTCTAGGAGTTTAGAGTACTTTGTGTCATGGGATAGCAGTGTAGATTATGGTGTTTGAATAATCGAATTGTTTGAATCTTGATTACACCACTTAGATGCTGTGTGATTTGGACAAGTCAGTTAACCTGTTCTACCTGTTTCCTTATCTGTATAATGGTGATGATAATGATAACAGTTCATACCTCATAGAATTAATGTGAGGATTAAATGAGATAAAAATTGTTAAGCTCTTTGAAAAGAGTCTGACATATGGTAAACATATACGTTTTTATTATTTATCTTAATGATACAGTGAATAAGTAATATTCAAGACTAGAATGCAATATCTAGTAAAGTGTTACATACCTGCTAATTGTCCTCAGGGGGATTCCTTGGCCTGATGTAAAGGGAATGAAAGTAGTTGGCCACGATGAGGTTAGCTGATGTAACTTATGAACATATTTTAAAGCAAATAATTTACTTTTGGAGTTTGATGTCTTAGAAAGAAACTTCTTTATTAGAAATTAAGTAGGGTTAAGTAGTAATGAGTAAGGATTGTCATTCATTACATCTCATCATTTGTATTATAATATTCACAATTTCATGCATATATAGTGATAGCATATTGAATACAAAGAGGTTTTTAAAATCTTAACTACAAAGTCTGATAGTAACACAATCTTCAAGATTTTAATTTTTGTGCCCTTTGCTTACTAAGTAACTTTTCTATATTCTAATTACCAAAGTAATAATATACATGTCGATGATTCAAAAATTGGAAAGCACTGAAACGTGACTTTTTTTCTTAAAAAACGAAAAATAATAGATATAAGCAAAAATATTGCAAAAGCCTTTGCTATGCTAAAAACATTGACTTTCTGGAATATAGTTGTTATTTTCTGAAATATTTTGTTTCGTCATTTTTGGGGGAGAATATCACAGAACTGTATTTTCCTAAGGATTAAAAAATAGCAGGGATTAATAACAGGAAAATTTCAGTTCCCTATCTCAATTCATTTTATTAACATCAAAAGCCTAGGGCTGGGGTGTGGAGGGGAGGGTGGAAGGGGAGGATGTATGTGTGTGTATGGATCGATGAAAGATACAGATGCATGAACAGTATCTACATATATCTGTTTTGCTTTGTTTTTCTACTTGTATTTGTATGAAAGATTCAAGTGACATTTGTTTACTTTTATCCAAAACATTTTTTTTAAGCTTCAGATATAGTAGGGGCCAAATATTCTTGTAAAATGTTCTGTATTCTGAAATAATTAATTACATAAAGGGTCTTTGACCTCGGTGCTAATTGTTAAGGTTCTAGAGTTACTAAAATTAGTCTTTGTCTTTGTAGGTAACCTTCCTTGAAGAAATTACTGAGTATTATATAAGTGATGATGAGGATCGCAAAGGACCATGGGAAGAATTTGCAAGGGATGCATGCAGGTTCCAGAAACGAATTCAAGAAACAGAAGATGCTATTGGATATTGCTTGACATTTGAGCACAGAGAAAGAGTGTTTAATAGACTTCAGGGAACATGTTTCAAAGGATTTAATATTGTTGAGCAATGTTAAGATGAATTGACAGCCTGTAGTCCTAGCATATATTACCTCTTATTTGAGAGGTTTCTTTTAAAAACAGATATTGGCAGCTGTCCTTTGACCGTTTTCTTTTTTAGAGGAAATATAACTTGGATCCAATGATCTAGCCTGATTTTTTTTTTTTTGCAACATATTTCACTCAGATATTCATGTTTGAAGCCAGCCCTGATAATGAAGGATGAGATATTGTGATTTCTTTTCTTTTTTTTTCTTTTGAGGGTGAGAAAGCAAGAGTTTATTAAGAAGACAAAAGTTCCCAAGTGGGAGGGGACATGAAAGAGGGTTGCCCAAGATAGTGTGACTTCTAATCCTCCCTTTTTCAAATTTAGTTGGGTGTGTTTTTAAATGTCCTTTGCTTGGTTGAGGTGAAAAGGGGACCTTTTAGAGTTGTCTTTTTGTACTTCAAAACTTATTTTCTTGGGGCTGAGCATGGTGGCTCATACGTGTAATCTCAGCGCTTTGGGAGGCCAAGGTGGGAGGATCATTTGAGACCAGAAATTTGTGACCAGACTAGGCAGCATAGCAAGACCTTATCTCTACACACACACAAAAATTAGCTGGGCGTGGTGGTGCACGCCTGTAGTCCCAGCTTCCTGGGAGGCTGAGGTAGAAGGATCACCTGAGTCTAGGAGGTTGAGGCTGCAGTGAGCTATGATTGGGCCACTGCATTTCATACTGGGTGACACAGTGACGCTGACTCAAAGAACAAAACAAAATACACACACAAAACTTATTTTGGGGGGCTCTCATTTTTTTCCCAACATTCTGAAGTTAATAAGCTTTATGTTTTTCTATATTTTTTAACTTCAGTGATGTAGCCTGTCTACCTTAAGGCTAAAGAATAATCTTATATTGGCTACCAACTTAAAGTACATTGTCACTTTTTTCCTTGTAAAAATGACTTTGGTTGAAAATGTTTGGTAGGTTTTTATTTCTGTGTTAAACTCTACCTAAGCTATTTCCCAGAATGGCTACAAAACCTACATGTGCAGTACTCTGCTGCTTTGGGAAAGCTGCATCTTTCTGCCAAATTTTAACATCTAACATATTTACCTTCTGTGCAAACTGTTCTTTAGAGAGGGTTCTGTATTTGTTATTGTTGTTTCCAGTTAAATGTGGTTCTTTGTATCTTTTAACAGGTAGAAATGGTTGTAAAATACTCTTGAAAGTACTAATTGCATCTTTTTAAACTTAAAGCCTGAAATTTTCCTAGGAAGAAAATGTGAGACATCTTGGAGTAATTTGGTTTCGGTGTATATGCTCTCAACAGAAAACCAGTGTTACAAATATCATGCCTCAGCACTGTCACTTTAAAACCTGCCAGGATGACACTAAACTTGGAAATAGGCAGTTTGAAATGTAAAATATAAACTTCAATATCCAGGTTTATTGTGTTCTGCTATTTTAATAATGAAAGAAGTAATGGCAAAGCCTGTACTTTTCGGAAAGGATAGAACTATAGGTTTAAGAACAGAAAGTCTTAATATCTTTAGCCTACAGTTTACATTTGGATTGAAGTCTTTGCATTGAGTGATTGGTTGCATTTGCTTTATTTAAGTTATCTTTACATGGTGTGCATCTGTCAGGTTGAGGAATTGTTAACGAATTCTTTCATGGTTTATTATTACTCCATGTGCCTCCTTTCACAGGCAATGGAATAGAATAGATGACTTCTTAATCTTCAACTTATTTCAGTGTGGGGATGAGTTTCTCATCAGATGTACTTGCAGGGTTACTACCTCAGCTTAGAATCTACCTGGTCTTTGTTTTGTTTCTATCTGGTTTGCTCTAAGAACTGCCTCCAGTGTTTATATATTCATACATAGGCACACTGAGAGTGCAGCGCCATAAAAGCTGGTCATATTTTTGCAGAGTCCCCATTCCTTGTGTTTTGTGCATCTTCACTTTGGGTGATAACAGGGGATGCATTTACAGAGTCTGGTGTAATACCATGAAAACAGGCTCATTTCAAACACCAGCTATGTCAGTTGGAAAGCAGGCATCATTTGCCTTAAAAAAAACTTTTGACCTTCATAGGCATTCTTTTGAAACCAGACTGAAGCATGCTATTTTATTTCAGAGATCTAGGTTGTATTTCGTGTTTCTGAAATCTGGCACGTCTGTGCATTTGAAAATAGTGGGACATCTTTCATTGAATTTTGGAAAATTGTTTCCCGTAGGACTCCAGCCTCACTACCATATGAGTAAAAGCTTGGTTAAGAATTCTTCCAGATATTACCCTCCTTTAGAAAAAGCAATTCGATGGTGATGAGAATAACAGAAAAGACTGTTCTAGAATTCGGCTGAAGGAAAAAAACAAAATTCTTGTTCGTTTCATCCAAATTCTGGTTGTTAGAACAAAGTTAAACCTCCACAGTCTTAAAGAAAATCCTTGGAAGTTTTAACTAAACATTTTACACATTTAATGTCTAGTAATGGTGCTTTCAGTGTCAGTGTAGCATGTGAAAGGCTTTGTACAGACAAGTAAAATTTCCATTTCTGAGTGAGGAAATGTGATAACACCTCTTCATCTTTAACTTGAGATCAGAACTATCAGATTTTATTTTTTATAATTTAAGGAAGGTGAAGTTAGGGGACTAGAAGACTTCTAAATTGGATTCTACAGGTTCAGTGACTTAAATGTAACTAGTTTGTTGGGATTTTATAGTTGAAATTATATTTGTGTATATAACTTAACTAATCTGTACATTATAATAAATATATTTGCAATTATTAAATGTTAAATGATATTTTGGTTCAACTATATTGTATGTTTCATAGTATCTTATGTTGGTTTTGGAATTACTGAGCAGGATTTTCAGAATTAGGTATTTTTGAAGTGCTGGACATTTTCTGTGGTTTTAAAAGGGTTTGTGTCTTACACATTTTACCTCAGCTAATTGAAAGGGAGAAATGGGCTGGGCATAGTGGCTCACAGCTCACACCTATAATCCCAGCACATTGAGAGGCTGAGGTGAGAGGATTCCCTGAGCCCACGAGTTTGAGACCAGCCTGGGCAATTTGGTGAGACCTTCTCTCTGCAATAAATCAAAAAATTAGCTGGACATGGTGGTGCATGCCTGTGGTTCCAGCTACTTGTAAGCCTGAGGCTGAAGGATCACCTGAGGCTAGCAGGTGAGGCTGAGGTGGCCGTGAGTGTGCTACTACACTCCAGCCTGGGCGACAGATTGAGACTCCGACTCAAAAATAAATTAAAAAAGAAAGGGAGAAATGGTAGGGAGATAAATATCATAATTGCAAATTGTGTTTTAGTAATAGGAAGAATTCAGTTCTTGAGGTTTTTATGAAAGGCCCTTCTAAGACACGGTTTGATTCTAAAATTGGCCCCAGCCATCCAGTTCTTTGGCAAAAAAAAACAGTAAAATAAACGGGTATTCACAGAAGCAGTAACATATATCCTGGGCTTAGCGTAGTGTTAACCTAAGTAGCAGGTAATCTGTTTTGTGCATTTTTATTCATGATAATCATGGTATTATAAATCTTGATGTTCTTTCATTTACAAAATTAAGTGTGATGGTAACATCAGAAAAAAAACATTTACTCTGAAAAAAGCAAACATTTAGGTACAGTAAACCTATTAATGGATTAAGGAATAATGGCATTCTTGCTGGGCGTGGTGGCTCACGCCTATAATCCCAACACTTGGGGGAGGCTGAGGTGGGAACATAGTTGGAGCCCAAGAGTTTAAGACCAGCTTGGGCAACATAGGGAGACCTGGTCTCTACAAAAAACCAAAAATCAGCCAGGCATGGTGGCACACACATGTAGTCCCAGCTACTTGGGAGGCTACATGCTCACAACCACTGCGGCCCCGACCTGATGGGCTCAGGTGATCCGCTTCAGCCTTCCAAGTAGCTGGAACCACAGGCGTGTACCACCACACTTAGCTAATTTTTAAATTTATTGTAGAGATGAGGTCTCGACAAGTTGCCCAGGCTGGTCTTGAACTCCTGGGCTCAGGCAATCCTCTTGCCTCAGCCTCCCAAAATGCTGGGATTACAGGCATGAGCCACTGTACTCAACCAAAGAACAGCATTCTTAATTAAGGCATTTGAATCTTCCCAGCTAATGATGAGTTACTGTTAATCAAAGTTTAGTACAAATTTAATTGACAGCTCTAGGTTATAATTTTTCCATCTTGGGGTTAGCTGAAACATTTGTGGCATTCTCTTTTAGTAATATACATGAAAATAGTCACATTCACATCAGACCAGATTTATTGCTGTGCCTATCCTGACATTTTATAGAACTCATGCTGTTTTTCTACTTTATAATAGGCCAGGTGCCATGACTCACTTTTATTTTATTTTTATTTTTTTTTGAGTTGGAGTCTCACTCTGTCGCCCAGACTGGAGTGCAGTGGCCGCTCCCAGCCACCGCAGCCTCGCCTGCTGGGCTCCGGCGATCCTTCCG